TCGCTCGGGCGCTGTGGCTCCTTCCGCTTCCTCCGGGGCCCTGCGCGAACCTGCGGGCCCGATTCCCTTTTCCGGCCGCGCTCAGGCCTCTAGGCCCCGCAGCCTCTCGCAGTGTGTGCTGACCGCCCCTCTCTCCAGTTGCCGACCCTGAAGTCGTCCTCCGCTCCCCTCGCCCTCCCGGACCCCACAACAATCCTTGGCAAATCCTGTCTGGATTAAACTTGTATTTAAATGTATTCAAAAATGTATTTACACTTTTTTTTTTTTTTGTACTGGAGATTAAACCAGGGATTTGCACATCCCAAGCAAGCACTGTACTAAGGACTATGACGGGCCGGGTGTGGTGGCGCACACCTGTAATCCCAGCACCCGGGAGGCTGAGGCAGGATCACTGAGTTTGAGACCCGCCTGGGCTACATAGTGAGTTCCAGGTCAGTCTCAACTAATAGTGAGACCCTGGCCCAAAACAAAAGAAAAAAAGGACGACGACCATGATGATTATGTTGATGATTGAGATACTGTCTCCTTAAATTGCCCAGGCTGGCCTTGAACTCAGGCCCTTGCCTCAGCCCCCAGAGTAGTTGGGACTACAGGTGCATGCCACCATCCCCGGATCCGGTGATTTTTTACAATCTTTTTTTGTTTTGTTTTGGTTTGGTTTTTTTGTTGTTTTTTTGAGACAGGGTCTCACTATGTAGTTGAGACTGACCTGGAACCCAGTATGTAGCCCAGGCTGGTCTCGAACTCACAGTGATCCTCCTGCCTCAGCCTCCGTTTTTTTGTTGTTTTTTTGAGACAGGGTCTCACTATGTAGTTGAGACTGACCTGGAACCCAGTATGTAGCCCAGGCTGGTCTCGAACTCACAGTGATCCTCCTGCCTCAGCCTCCCGAGTGCAGGTATTACAGGAATGCACCACCACGCCAGGCTTTATTTATTTCAGTCTTTACAGTGATGTGGGGTCCAGTCCGTTTTCCCCTCTCAGCCGCATCCTGGACCAGGACGGCCCACCAGAGGGTTGGTGTCCAGGCCAGCCTGCACCCTTGCTCGGCAGAGCTCCTTCTCCACAAGGTCCCGCAGCAGTTCAGTCTTCCCCCCTGGGCACTCCCAGCCTTCCTAACCCACTGCAGGTAAGGACAGCTGCTCACAAGGGCAGGCCACGCCAGCCACGAAACCCCCAGTGCTGCCATCTCCTCGGTCACCACTCCAGCCCCATGTCTGCGTCCCTCACTCTCTGCGGGCTCTATTCAAATGTCATCGGCCAGCAAAGCCTTCCCTGACTGGATGTTACGAAATGACAGGGTCTCCACGTCTGGAACCCTACCACAGCAGAACCACCCACTCTTTACGGTCTCCATACCAATGAGCGTGTTTTACATGCGTGTGCATTTTCTGTTCCCGTAGAGCACATGCACCCCAGGGTGAGTATTTCTGTCTTGTTCGTGACGAGTCCCAGGAACCTGTGCAGTGCCTGACTGCGCGCAGGCCGAGGACCTGAAGGAAGCGTGGAGTCAGCTGCCTTGGGGGTGCAAGCGCTTCTGAGGCACAGGTCGCCACTGACTTCCAAAAGGGGGACTGGTTTGCGCTGTCACCACTAGTGGGCAGGTTACTGCTGTTCTTTCTTTCTTAATTTTTAAAACGTTTTGTTTTGGCAGCACTGGGGCCTGAACCCAGGGCTTTTGTACTGAGCTAATTTTTTATGTTGAGACACCGTCTCGCTGATTCGCTAAATTGCCTAGGCTGGATTTGAACTTATCCGTCTTCCCTCCTCAGCCTCCGGGGGCGTGCACCCCACTGTATGGCTCCCATTGTAAGTGAATTGGGAGCCCTGCGGGGAGAGTTTTACCAGAAGCCTCCCGGGATTCCCACTGCCTGAGGATGCTGTGGCAGCTCGGCCTGTGGGATTAGAGCCCGGCAGGGCAGGGTCTCAGCGGGGTGTGATGGGCAGGGCAGGCCTGTCTGTCCCGTGGGTGTGCAGGGAAGCCCTGCTCCAGGTGGGTGACAGAGTGTGGGGTCCAGGTGGGGCTGCGGAGCCTTCCCAGGCTGCCCGGGCACCGCGTCCGGGGACCTGTGGGGCTCTGCGGGCCCTGTGAGCAGGGGTGACAGAGAAGTGCAGATTTCCAGGTCTCTGTCTTTCCTTCCCACTCCTCGGTGCCCCTGCCCTTCCACCTCCAGGGCCCTGCACTGGTGCCTGTCCGGTCTCCTTTCCACGCCATATCAGAGGTGGATCCGGTGGGGGGCACAAGCTGGACGTCTCTCCGGAGCCCCTCTGGCCACCCCACCCACCCAGCGGGGCAGCCCTCCAGGTCAGCCTCTCCCCGGGGCCAGGCCCCAGTTCCTGTCTCCTTCTTAGGCCAATCCGCTGGGTCCAGTACCAGTCAGCGCCAGCTGGCAGCTCCCACCGGAGACGGAGGTGGCGTGGGATGGGGGAGGGGAGGGAGCGGGCAGGAACCCAGGGAGAATGGGGGACAGGGGCTGGGCACGTGGGGAGGGCGGGCTGCCTGGGGAGGGGGGAGGCGGAGGCCATGGGCTGCCCTGCTGCCCCTAGCAGTCCAGTCCCCCGCCCCTCTCTGCTGTCCACTCACCCCCTAAGCTGCCCCTGGCTAAATCTTCTTGGTCTCTTTAAGAGCTGCCTGGGAACTGGGGCGCCCCCCTGCGGGCCCTGTTCACACAGACTCAGCTGAAGTCTGGGAAGCCTGCTGGCTCTCCACTGCCGGGCTGGGGGTAAGGCTGGCACGTGCTGGGGGAAGGGACTGGGGCGTGGGCGTGGGCGGCCGCTGGGATGGAGACTCCTGGACCGTGGACATGGGCGTCCCTGAGCCAACCTCGGTGGCTAACAGCAGCGGTGGCCTTGTGGCCTGGCTGGGAGACGGTAGTGCCAGGGTTCTTGAGGGGCAGGATGCTTGAGCCCCTCTTTTTCTTTCTTTTCTTTCTTTTTTTCCTTGCGGTAATGAGTGTTAAAGGCAGGGCCTTCCTACTGAGCTATGTCCCCAGCCCTTTTTGTAATTCTTTATTTTGAGACAGGATCTCACTAAATTGCTACACAGCCCAGGCTGGGCCTGAAGTTATGATCTTCCTGCCTCAGCCTCCCACCCAAGTGCAGGGACTGTGGGTGTGGACAAGTCCCCCGGCTACTCTTTTATCTCATTTTCCCTGGGGCCTTTATCTGCTAAACTCCTCCACGCTCCCCATCTCCCCACAGTCAAGCACGCAGCCCAGCACCTACGTCCGCGGGTGGGGGCCTGAGGAGAGGCAAAGCGGAGGACACTGAGCTGTGCGCTGTGCCACAGAGGAGTGGAGCTTGGGCAGAGCACAGGGCCGGGGCGGGAGAGCTGCGTCCAGGCTGCTAGAACCGTTTTCCACCATGGCTGCGGCCCTGCCTTGAAAGAAGCCCTTGTGCTCACCAGGGCCACTTGATGCTGGAAGTTTGGGTTCGTTTGCCGGGCCAAGGGGGCCCTCAAGTCCGGCTGGGTAACCGGAATGAAGGGCCGCAGGGAGACTGTGGGTTCCCTCATTCCCTAGGACCGTTTCAGAAGCGTCCCCTTTCCACCTCTGCCACCTGGCCAGAGCCACTTCCCTGAAAAGGATGGAGGTGGGGTCCTCAGCACACCCCGGGGACCCCTCCTGCTTCAGGACTAGCTCAGCTCAGCCCTGCCTTCTCCCTCTCAAATGGTTTCTTCCCCCTGCGCTGGGGACAGGACCTTGGCACAAGGCAGCGCCTGAGCTGGGCGGGTGCTGAGGGCGGTGAGGGAGCCGGGTCTGGAAGCAGCCAGGGGTCGAGAGCAGCTGCTCCCTCAGCTTTGCTTCCATGCCGTGCTCTCCTCGCCCCTCCCTAAGTGCTTGCCCAGCACCCTAGGCCTAAAGGGAACTGGAACTGTCCTGTGAAACCCTCTTCCCAGCAGCCTTCAGCATTCACTTCCTCCTCAAAGAACGCTAGTGAGTCTGGAGAGGAGCCCTGCTGTTCCCAGGTGGGCTGAAAAGCCATTTTTTAACTTCTGTGAATCAGAGAGGGCAAGTGCTGCGTCTGGGATCACACAGCAAGTTAAACACAGCCGGGCTGGGCATTCAGGACTCTCGCTCCTGGCCTCGTGGTGCCTTCTCCTTCCTTCCTTCTTTCATTTTTAAAATAAATAAATAATATTTTTGGAGGTGGGGTCTCACTGTGTAGTCCAGCCTTGAACTCACTATGTGGCCAAGTTGACCTCAGACTCCAGGCGACCCTCCCGCCTCAGCCTTCCCTTTGCTGGGATCATAGGTGTACACCACCGCACCTGGCTTCTTGTCTTTTCTTACCGTATTGGTAATCGAACCTGGGTGCTCCACCACTGAGCTAAATCCCCGGCCCCTCTTTTTGCATTTTTAAAAATTTTATTTTTTTGGTACCAGGGATCAAACTCAGGCTCTTGCGCTTTCAAGGCAGGCTGTGGAACTGCTAAATCCCTATCGCTTTGTATTTTATTTTAAAACAAGGTCTTGCTAAATTGCCTAGACGGACCTCAAACTTGTGACCTTCCTGCTTCAGCTTCTCGAGCGCTGTGCCCGGCTCCCGTGCTGCTGTCCCACAGTCCTCCTGCATGCTGGGAGCCGGCCTGGAAGGGGCTTTTCCATGCCTCAGCTTACCAGTGAGGAAGGCTCCGGCTCAGGCCTTGGCTCCCTAGACCTCTGCAGAGCTCTTTTCGAAAGCCTGCCTCCACTCCCCCAAGACACGCCAGCCTCTCCCTCCTCACAGGCCTCGGGGGTGGCTTAGGAAGAAGAGGCGGAACCTGGCCGAGGTGGACCCTCTGTGGAAGGCAGGATGACAGCAGCAGGGGAGGCCGCTGAGGCTTCCTGACAGAGACCCTGACCCCAGGCTCCTTTCTGTGCTCCTTTGGGTCCTCCTGGTGAACCTCGTTTGCATGGGGCCCAGCTGAGCCCAGGTGTGTCCCTCACATACACACAGTTCCCAGAGAGGCTGCCATGTGGGGGAAATGGCCCCACTGACTCCCTAAACTGGCTGGGGACATCTGCCCAGTGGCGCCTGCCTCAGGCGGGAAGGGGGCTAACAACCCCCTCCGCCCCTTGTGCCCACATCTGGAGCCCCCCTTTCCCACATGTGTGGCTCCAGGAGCCACAGAAGGTGGGACACAGTGGGGCACAGGAGGAGGAGGAAGAATATGGGGAGATTCTGGTCCCTCCCACTTAGAGATGCGGTTGCCATGGTGACTAAGGACCAGTGAGGTGGGATGGGGTTGGGGATGGGGGTGGGGGTGTGGCAGGGACAAGGCTGTGGGAAACCGATTGCCTGACATTCCAGGGGGGAAACACTGCAGCAGCCCAAGCTCCAGGTAAGGGGCAGGGAGCCCCCTGATGGCTCTGGAGGGAGGGGGAGGCCATTGTCTGCCGCTGCTCTGCCCTCTGCCCCGAGGGGCCGACCCAGGGGTCGGGCATTGTGTTTGCTCCTCAGCACCACCGAGGAGGAGGGGAGCTGGGTGGCTCTGGGTAAGGGTCAGGTGGGACTGGGGTGGGCTGTGGGGAACTCCTGGCGCCTGTAACAGCAGACACTTGACACGATACGGCATGTATAAGTTGATTTGACTCTTTTGTGACTAGAAAAAGGGGCTGAGGACGGGGAGCCAGGAAGCAGATGTTACCCAGGACTCTGCTTTTCTGAGGGCCGCTCTCATGCTGGGAGGAGGAGGAGGAGCTGGATTTGCCTGGTCCCTGGGGAAGCCCTCCTCCCTGGGGTGTTCTGCGGAGACCCTGGGTGCTGGAGGCCCTGAGGGAACCCGGACTTGCCTCTTCCACGTCCCGGTCCGCCCCCACATCCAGCCTGGCTGGAAGCTCTGCTGTCCCAGTTGGGGGAGGGGGGCTGGACCCTGCAGGCAGGCAGAGGCTGAACTCAGTGTTGTAGCAAGCTGGGCTCCAGGGTGTAGAAGAATTGGCGGAGGGACAGACAGGAGAGACGAGCACCTGTCCTCAGACATCTGACCCTGCCACCCAGCTGGCCACTGCCTGACTCCAGGCCAGCTGGGCTCTCCTCTCCAGCCTTGGTTTCCTCATTGTACAGTGAGGAAGGGGTGGGGCCGCCAGCTCTGAGCTTCCTGATAGCCAGGACCTGCTGTGTAATTTGTGGGGTGCATTGGAAAATGACAATGTGGGGCCCTGGTTTTAAAATTCTTAAGAGTTTCAAGACAACAAGAGTAGAGGCTCCAGTGGCGCGTGGGCCCTTCTGAGCTCGGGGCCCGGCCACAGAGTAGGGCTTCACCTGCCCACCCAGCCGGGAGGCCCCGGTGTCAGGGGCACATTACTGGGGGGCAGATCCCCGTTCCTGCCCCCAGTGGTGTTGTGTCTTAGCTCAGAGAAGACAGAGCTTGCCGCCATCCCCCTCACACCCCCTTCCACACCAAATGGCTCCAGAGTAATTTCCAGCAGGGATGGGGAGGTGGGGCTGAGGGAACAGGGCTCAGGAGCCGTGTCGCTGGCAAAGGATTCCTTTTGGACAGAGCAGATCTGAATTCAGCTTGCCTTTGAGCTGTGTGGCCTCTTTCCTTCTCTGTAAAGTGGCATCGTGGAGGCACCTACCGGGTGACACTGTGGGGAGGGCTGGGGCCCTACCTGCCAAGTATCTGGCTCGGCTGAGGGGCTGGGGAGAGGGGTCTGGGTTCGGAGAAGGCTGGGTCTCACGGGCAGGCCATCAAGCCTGGCACTGAAGTGGGACTGGACCTGGGGCAGACAGAGGGGACAGGGAGGTGCCATTGGAACCCCCTTTACTTCCCCATCAGAGCCTCTCCCTGTGACCCAGATCAGCCACTGGGTTCCAGCAGAAAGGCCTGGGGCAATGCAGCCTCCCACATCGGAGACTGGGTCAGGAGCATGGAAATGTTCCTGAACTCTGAGAGAGCTGGCGGGGACCTGGCACCCAGCCTCGGGGAGAGCGTGGGGGTCGCACACAAGTCCTGGCAGCAACAGTTGTCAAGAGGGCTCTGTCCCAGAGCAGCCCTGGGGAACTGAGCCATGTTGGGTGCAGAGGGAGAGAGAAGACCAAGGGGTGGCTTGGGCAGGGAGTCCCTATGAGGTGCGTCCCTGGATGCAGAAGGGTGGAGGTCACGCTCGGGAAGGGCTTCTCATGCGTGGTGAGCAGCGTGGTCCCGAGTTGGGAGTTGGCGGGGGCATTTGTTGGGGTTAGCTGGCCCTGCGGGGCAGGACGAGGGCTCTTACCCTGCAGTCACCTGACGGGCCGAGTGGGCAGCAGCCTCTCCGCTTCACAAGCCTGGAGCCTCATTAACCCGGCGTCACGAGGCTGCCCATGAGGCTCCCCTAGGGAGGCCCTGGCAGCCAGCACCAGGGCCCTCAGAAGTGCGTCCTGTGGAGCATATGCTCATCTGGGGAACGACCTGGGCTTCCCCTCTCCTGATGGCGTCCTGACGATGGCAGGGTGACGCTGTGGGGGGACTTCCTCAGCCAAGTCTGGCGAACAGCCTAATATGGTCCTTTATAGATCATGGCCGAGCTAAAAGTGGGAGGTTGCAGGTTAAAGTACTGTAGGGACTTCCCAGGAGGTAGGAGTGGTGAGACCCAGAATATACACAAGTGAGGGGAGAGACCCGAAAGACAATGCTGAGTCCCCCCTCTGGGAAATCTCAATCGGGAGGAAACCACAGCCAGGCTGGACAGGCTGGATACAGTGTAGCAGAGGCAGAGGGTGGCTGAGTGGCCTAGAAAGACCTTTTAAACTCTGTCTGGAGCAAGAGGAGGGAGGGAGAGGTGTCTCCTGCCAGGCAGGTCAGCCTTTTCCCCTCCCTTCCACCACTTCCGCCCAAGCCAGGATCTGTCACAACTCGAGGTGGAAATTCTGGTTTCCCTGGCGCAGAGCTCCTGGTGCTTCTGGCTTTGGCATGATGGGTGCCTGGAGTGCTGTGCTCCCTTTCCAGCCAGGCTGAGTCTTTGTTTGCTGCCTCCGGGTCCCAGGAACCCCGTCCTTCTTTCCCTTGGATGGCACTCCTGTCCCAGAGTTTGGACACGGGTTTCTCACCACAGCTGGCCGAGGGGTATGTGAGGTGAGACGGACTTGGGGCTGGCGGCCTTATGGGGAGAGAAGCAGAGCCCGGGGGCAGGCACAGGGCACAGAGACAGGCTGCAGAGGCTGGGAGAAGCCCGCTCTCCCGCCTAGGCTGTCCCTCCTAGCCAAGCGGTGGGTGGACATGCATGGCCTTCCTGGAAGAAGAGAGCCAGGTAGGGTCAAAAGCTCCGAGGCTCCCAGGACTAGGGGCTGGTCAGAGCAAGTCCACTCACACCTGGGGTGCCTGCTGGGTCTGGCGTGGGTATGAGGCTCTGCGTGACAGATCTGAGACACAGCTGAGAGGACTCCAAAGCAAGTCTCCCGTGAGTGCAGGATCTCGCTCACCGGAGTCTCCTGGCCTCTTGGTTTCTGGAAGAGGGAAAAGCCAAAGAGGAAAGGAGGCACAAGGGACTTCCCTGCCAGTGCAGCAAGCGAGAAATGGCTCAGCTCAGCAGAGGTGTCCGTGAGAAGGGACCAGAAGGGTCAGCATAGGGGGCGCTGAGAAGGGAAACTGAGGCAACAGACTGAGGCCAGAGAGTGGGATGGAATGAGACTCAGGGTTCTCCCCTCCCCTGTGGCCACACACACACACACACACACACACACACACTCACACTCACACATAGGCACACTTCTGCTCCCTGGGGCTCTGCGATTGGTTGCCCAGGGGGATGTGGTAAGGACAGCTCACCCAGAAAGTGCCCGGTGCCTGTTTCCCCAGAGCCATCTGGTGACAGCCTCTGGCCGAGCATGGCCCTCCCAGCCCTGGGCCTGGACCCCTGGAGCCTTCTGGGCCTTTTCTTCTTTCAACTGCTCCTGCTTCTGCTGCCGCCACCGACTGCCGGGGAGGGTGGGCAGGGGCCCATGCCCAGGGTCAGATACGATGCAGGTGAGTGTGTGGCACCGGGAGGGGTGGTGACACAGAGCCGGAGTGGGGCACAAAGGGAGGGGGGACAGAGGGAGGGGCAGGCGGACACGGAGACATAAGATGCGCAGAAACTTTGATCCCCGGTACCCAAATAAAGATGCCCAGAAAGATGCCAGGGAGCAGCGGAGAGAGGAGGTGGGAGAGAGAGAGATGGAAATGCACAGAGGAAGGGAAGCAAGAGGGCCGGGGCCCAGGGCAGTTCCACATTTCAACTGTCACTGTCACCACAAGGGGCACCTTAAACCCCAAGTGCTTTCACACCCCAATTTCCCCAAAATCAAGGCCCACGCTAGCAGCTCATCTGCAGACCTGGTGCCCCAGGGTGCGCTGAGCCAGTGCTAACCACAGAGACCCCTTGGCCATGCCACGCCCGGCAGGATGAGCTCTTGGGGTGCCCGGCTGGCACGTAGGTCCCGGGACCCCGCGGCACAGCCTGCAGGCTCCCACCATGGCTGTGGGGCCATGGCCACAGCTCCAGGAGAGGCTTTGCGGGAGGACCCAGCCCCGCGGGAGCACAGGGGCCAGTCTCCCGGGCATACACGCGTCTCGCAAGCTGACAGAGGAAAGGCGGCTGCCGTGGGGAGGCCCCTTCTGTGTTGGAGGCGGGGGCAGAGAGCAGGCCCAGCCCTGCCCTCCAGGAGCTCACAGCCTCTGGGGGAAGCAGAGTGACCCTGACACCAGCCCAGGCTGGGTGACCGGTTCAGTCACTAAGGCTGGGTGCATTGCAGGGAGGCCGGCTGCCTGGACACCGCTTGGAGGGCTACCCTTGCAGCCCTTCCCACTGCACTCCATGGCCGAGGGTCCCTGGGCCTCCGGAGGGGACGGGCAGCACCAAGGTGTGGCTGCAAACGCGAGGCTCCGAGGCAGCGGTGGGGCAGGATGGGGCACACGCACCCCCTCCACACCATGCACGCCCAGGGAGGGCCAGGGCCCCACCACTCACTTCTCCTGCCGAGGTGACACTCAGGCGTGCCACGCGGACCTCAGAAAGGTCACACACGCTTCTAGCAGTGGAAATGTCCTGTAATAGAGCAGGGGAAGGAAACAGGAGTGAAAACCCCCAACAGCCCTGCCGCACAATCCTGTCCCCCTCTACCCTTTCTGCCTGTGGCTGTGAACACCTTCCTGTGCACCCTCCCTCACCGCAGCCCCTAGGCTGAAATAGCACCCACTGGGCCCGTCTGTTTCCTGTCTACACATCTGGCCCCGCCCCGGGCCGCCACACGGAGCTCCGGGGACAGCAGCAGGGCAGGGGTGAGGGGGCTGCCGGTGACCCCAGGGGGTCCAGCCGCCAGCCTTTCCCTCTCCTGTCCCTGAAGCCAGAGGCTCCTCACCACTCTCTCCTGCCCTCCGCTCCCCACAGGAGACCCACGCAGGGGCCTGAGCCTCTTCCAGCAGAAGGGCCTCCGAGACTTCGACACCCTGCTCCTCAGCGGTGACGGGAACACACTGTACGTGGGCGCCCGGGAGGCCGTTCTGGCCTTGGATGTCCAGCACCCCGGAGCCCCACGGCTGAAGAACATGGTGAGGATACTGGGGACGCTGGGTGTGTGCGGGGAGCAAGGAGGGGCGGCCTTCGGAGGAGCACGGCCCAGTGGCCTTGTTTGCCATCAGCAGCCAACAGCAGTTCTCTTTGCATAAGTCCCGACGGGCAACGGATGAGAAACGGGACTGCGATTTCACGACTCACCGGTGTCCCTGGTTGGATATCAACTGCTAAGTGGCAAAGTGGAAACCACCGACACAGCAGCTACACACTGACTAAAATTGTACCAATAACTTGATAGCCACCCACTGGTAGAAATCCTCGAAGCTTCTCTGTTATTGTCTCCATCGTCTCCGTCCTGATGGGAGCAATGGGAGAGAGGAAAGGAGGGGAGGTGCTAGCAATCCCTGGTCGATTCCATGGTTTATTTTCAACGTGGAGTCTGTTGGTCACTTGAGAATATGGGTGCTGGTTAAAATGTAGACTCTGCCAGACGTGGTGGCATACACTTGTATTCCCAGCACTTGGGAGGCTGAGGCAGGAGGATCGCCGAGTGTTGGACTACATAGTGAGCTACATATGTAGCCTGGGCTACATAGTGAGCTCAAGACCAGTCTGAAGTACACAACCAGACCCCATCTCAAAAAAAAAAAAGTAGACTCTTTAAGGGTGACAGAAGAACACCGCTGTTGTGAAAAGCAGGCATGTACGTGGCCCAGTTGTGCCCAGCAGCAGCCCATATCACCTGACCAAGATGGCAGTCGGTGAGTGGCAGAGCTAGATTTGAACTCAGCTCTGCTTCCTTAGGCTGTGTTCTGTCAGGGAGCGTTGTCCCAGTGAATGTCACTGTTATCAGAGTGATGACCCGGGCACAAGTTGGTGCTGCTGGCCACAAGTGTGTCCCTGTCTACCACACCTGCTGGTGAGCCAAGGGGACAGTGGTCACAGAGGGCCGAAGGCCTCCCACCCCTCCATCTCCACCCTCCCACCCGCTCAGGTCCTCTGGCCGGCCAGCGAGAGCAAGAAGCGGGAGTGTGCCCTGAAAAAGAAGAGCAACGAGGTGAGGGGCGGGCCCAGCCCTGCCCTGCCCTGCCCTGCACTCAGGAGGGAGGGAGGGAAGCTGGCCCCGCACAGGAGTCACCTCAGGGCCTGAGTTCTCCGCCTCCCCCAGACCGAGTGCTTCAACTTCCTCCGGGTCCTGGTCTCTTTTAACGCCACCCATCTCTACGCCTGTGGCACCTTCGCCTTCAGCCCCGCCTGCACCTACATCGTGAGTGACGGGACACCCAGGCACAGGACCCCGGTCAGCCCTTCTCACTCCCCCGCAGCCGAACCCCTGTGGCTCTGGAGAACTGGTCCCTCAGGGCCCTCAGGAACCAATGTCCCTCGGGGTCCCCTTCCCTCCTCCCCTCATTTCCCAGGTGGGAGACCCTGGTGTCCTGGGTCCCCCAGCCTCTCCTCCCTCTAGGGACTCCAAGATTCTTTCCTGTCATCCGTGTCAGAGAAGCTGACGGAGGGGAAAGGTCAGAGTCCCTTTGACCCTGCTCACAAGCACACTGCTGTCTTGGTGGGTGAGTGTCGGCCTCCCCGGCCCAGCCAGCACTTGCCTTCTCGGTCCCGAAATGCGTGACAGGGTGGCGCTTCCTAAACGGGAGGAGCCTCGGGCACAGCCCAGGGGGAGCATGAGGCTCCCCAACTATGGCTTCCTACTGAACCGGCCACAGAGGAAGTGGAAAGAGAGATGAGGAAAGAGAGGCGTGAGGGTTCAGGGAGGGCATCGGGCAGAGGAGAAGCCTGAGGTTCAGTTGCTGGTCCAAGCAATGCGGGCTGTGTGAACGTTTGCTCTGGCGTGCCAGCCGTTGGGATGGGTACTGTGGGGCTACAGAGACGAAATCACGGCCCTGTGTCCTGGCTTCCTGGAGGTGGTGGTCTTTGATTTTTTGTTTGTTTGTTTGTTTGTTTTTGCTTTTTGAGACAGGGTCTTGCAATGCAGTTCAGGCTGCCCCTGAACTCAACATGTAGCCTACGCTGGCCTCAGTCATGGTGATCCTGCTGCCTCAGCCTCCTGAGTGCTGGAATTACAGGCCTGTGCCACCATGCCCAGCAGTCTTTGACTTTTGAGCAGGACTCTAAGATAGATAGGTAGAGAGACAAGGAATTCGTTCCAGGAAAAGAAGGGCAGGACCCAAGGTGTAGAAGGCAGAAAACAGTTCCTTTCTGGAATTAATGAGCGATTGCACTTGGCAAGTGGTTCGGGGGCTTGTGAGGGAGTAGCCAGAGAAGGCCTGGAAAAGCGCCAGCACAGAGGGCCACACTGGTCACTTCCCTTGGACAGAGGAACTTTACAGGGTGCCCAGGGTGTGGGGCTCTGCAGGGAGTGCGAAGGAAGGAAGGGGCCAGGGCGGCCTCTGCCCGCTACACTCCCCTGCGGCTCTCCCCTGCCTAGATGGGATGCTGTTCTCGGGCACCATGAACAACTTCCTGGGCAGCGAGCCCATCCTCATGCGCACGTTGGGCTCCCGGCCCGTCCTCAAGACGGACACTTTCCTCCCCTGGCTGCAGTGTAAGGACCCGGCCCCCGGCCCCCCACCCACTGCTGCCCTTTCATCACCTTGGTGCCCTGGACGGCCACCGACGGCCAGGCGCCGGGGTCTACCGCGCACGTGCCCTCCCACTCCCGCCGTCACCCTCCGCGGGCTCCCGCTCTGCAGAGCCGTCCAAGGGTTTTCCCAGGGGGCTCCGGGCAGCCAGCGCCCTAACCCTCCGCTCCCCCCGCAGCGGATGCCTCCTTCGTCGCCGCAGTCCCCTCTGCCCAGGTGGTCTACTTCTTCTTCGAGGAGACAGCCAGCGAGTTCGACTTCTTCGAGAAGCTCCGCACGTCCCGCGTGGCTCAAGTCTGCAAGGTCTGCGGCTCGGAGGGGCGGGGCCGGCCTGGCGGGAGCCAATGGGAG